AAATCAAACCCATTTTCATTGCTAATTAAGAAAAAAAAAAATAATTAAAAGTGTAATACTATAATTGAGTAGATTTTTCAGAATACAATATTGTAATGGAAAGAACTAGAAGTAGGATGCTATAATATATAAATACATGAAAAACATTACTATTTCTTGCATATAAGGCTTTCATGTATGGTTCAATTATAAAAATTATCAATAGGGCTGTAACATCAAAAAATGGAGAGCCGATGTAGATACAAACAATTCCAGAGGATCTACAATAACAAATTTCCCATGTATTTTTTAGTTAATAACATATATTATCCTTTTTTAATTTTATTGACACTAAAGCCCTTGTAAATAACAAAATATTATGACCATCCATCCGAAATGCACACAACAATCAGACTTTTTGTTTTAAAACTAAATTGTTGATAAAATTGAGTTATCCCATGTATTTTTCATTAATCACATATATTATTCATTTTGTTAATTTTATTGACACTAAAAAACATGTAAATATTATGAAGATATAAAGTATGCATGACTCATTGTTTGACACTTAAAATATGTTGTTATTAAAGGCATTTTTCTAGCCCGTAAAAAATGGCTTCTAAATAGTAGTGTCAAGATGCAAATAAATAAATAAATAATGATAATTTAAAATGTATGCATAAATCTACATGTTTATTTTAATAAACACTAAATGAAAATTTCATTATCGGCCAACCCATCCATCGACGAGTATTACAACTGCCTTTTGGTCGATTAATCAGTAAGATTGATATTACAGCTTCTTTTAATAGCTTTTGTTAAATCTCCTATAATATACAATTGGTGATAGTTTTGGAAGTGGGAAACCTCATTGATTTGTCTTTTTAAACATATAATTTAAGGTGGATCTTATTTTGACTATTTGTCCACCACATTGACCTCGATACATTGTAAACAAAAAATAATTAACTTTTTATGAATAATATAACTATAGATCGGTAGTTTTATCGTAGTTCAATGTTATAATGGAAAAATGAAATTAGGATGGTATAAAAACATAAAATCAACATATAGTTTTTATATCGGTCTTAGTTATAAAGTGCATACTAGATAGTTTACAATGAAAATTTATATAACAAGGAGATGATACGTGGCTAATGATGATGATTCCCCAAATCTTCATTCTCATAACATCGAAATATTTAACTCAAATATAATTATATATAATACCAATACATAGATTAGAGGCTGGCTTTAAAACTAGTTAATTCATTTGGGTCAGGCCCACATATAAATGGTCTAAAATGCCCTATTAAGATCCAAGAAAACCCGATCAGTCAAACCGGTTAACCATTTCTCTACCCGACCTGTTAAATGATCAGTTATGAAACTTCAAAAAGCTTAATTACCATATTTTGTCGTCTAGTGATTTCTTTAAGCAAAACGGCCGTATAGTTTTTGACCATTATACCCTTATTGGATGTCTATAAATAGAGATGTTGTTAGTTGAAACACAAATAAAAACAATCTTTAATATTGTATTCTCGACAGATTTTGTGTTTCATATTTTCTTTATCGAATCTGAAATTTTGTGTATTTAAATAATCTATACCAATTTTTATTCACCGGCTCTTTCTTGTTATTACTATGCCCATCGTTTCTACACTTACCATCGTAAATTCAGTCATAAAAGTCAAAACGGCCTGTTAGTCTCTTACCCAATCCAATGCCCTTTTACAGAGACCTGAACGTTTGCGGTCTTGGGTCGGTCTCGAAACAGTCCGATCTTTTTGAGATCGGTCTCGGAACGGTTCGGTCTTTTTTTGGATTGGTTTTTTTCGGTCTTGTCTCTCGATCTTTTCATAGGACTTTTTCGGTTCGATTTATGGGTCCGGTTTATCGGTCCGGGTTTGGACCCACTCTCATCCCTAATTGAGACGTAAGGCACTGGGCTCAGGTAGCCAAGGTTTTGTCCTAGCAGCTGGGCCGCCTAATGTTGGGCTTCATCAGGCTCGCCAAGTAGAGCCGTTAGAGTTAGCCGTCTTTGGGCCTTCCACTATATTTTTCATTACTAACAATAATATTACATACATTAGGAAAAACCTATATGTTAGAATAATACAGGCTCGAAATGGCCCCAAAAAACATTAAATTACATAAAACAAAAACACACATAACTAACACACGGTCCAACAACAGAAAAGAACAATGCACAACAATTTACATCCCATGTAGATTGGTTATAAAAATCATGTATAATAATACTTTCAAATGGTAAAATTGTATCCAAGCCATTAAACAGTTAAATATCCAAATATTTTGATCATTACCATGATTATCAAGAAATCAATGAATATAAATAGTCAAAACAATCGATATGATCATGAGATACAAAAATGACTATGACACCACTATTGTAAATTAATATATTCAAAACTAATTATGCAATCCAATATATCTAACAACTAATAAGGGATCCACTTGGATATAACATGGTCAACCAAGAATAACTATTTGGGGTTCAAAAATTTATCTTTAGGTTTGGTGTAGAAACAATGATCTAATGGGAAAACTATATGGGGTTCAAAAAATTATCGGTTTTCTACCTTTTGTTCTTGATAGGTGAACATCGCAAAGAGAGAAAAAGAAGGTGCCCCAAAAAGGAGTGGAGATGAAAGGATGCACACTAGGATTTCTGTATGACAATTAACAAAAGATAAATTAAATTGTCTTCTATATTTTATACCTATAAATATTTCTATCTACTAACATTATGACACGCGATATCATTCTAGAATTCAATTTAATTTTATTTGATATGTTCTTAATATACTTTTAATGAGACAGTTAAGTAAATATGAAATGATGATACGCATCATATTGTTAATGGATAGAAATATTAATAAACATAAAAGGGTAAAAGATAATTTAATTTCTCTTACCAAATACTGTAAATACTCTTAATTATTGCTCTTATATACTTATATCAACCGGCATGCTTTTAGGAAAAGTCTTTCAAAACATTATCAAGTTACCTAAACTCATTTAAACGTCATAGTTAATTAATTTAATAATTAAACCATTTTATTTTATCTTCCTCTATTTAATAAATAATAAATAATCATTTCTTTTTTTCTTTTTTTTTTAATTCTAATTGGTAAACAATAAATTTATCACTAGTAAATATATTATTTATTTCATATCTTTTATCTTTCTGTGTAAAACTCATAGACTTATGTATAATTAATAGTATAATATATATATATTTTTTTTGTATCTTTCACACTAAATTTTTTGTGTCTTGCACTAAATCTAAAGCTGAAGAAGCATACCAAAAAGTTTGTTTTAGAAATATCATATGCTAATTATGTTGTGGATCTACCAGTTGTGTTCTTATCTTGTTCTTTTTCGCAAACTATATTTTCCATCTCACATAAATTTCGTTATCATTCACATGATTCAAGTGTGAGTGAATATATGATGACCTATATTTGGTAAGTCTATCGCTTCATGATATTTTTCATTTGTTATGTTTAGTGCATTTCAATCGGATTTGTTGATTCATGATAATTTTAGGTAACAAAAAGTCTCATAAGAACTAAGAATGATATATTCATTCTCAACAACGGAGCAAAACTCATGATTTATCACAAATGTATATTTAAATAAAATTTGGTCGACTAAACGTCAAAATAAATTTACTTTTTTTAATTGATGACAATAACAACTAAGAAAATACGAACAACAAATCTAAAGTAAAATGGATCTCCACTAAATATCTGCATATCAGTAGTTACGTTTGAGTGTGGGATAGAGCTCGAAACTCGAAAGCGACCACAAATAAATATTAAATAAAGCTTTTGGTAAAAATATAAAAAGACATGATGACTTTTAATGGTCATTGTGATTCCAAGTCGAACACAGATTCTAGAAGATAAGGGGGATTACGATTGAAAAAGAGTGAATTTGCTTGTTAAATGTTATATCTTTTACTCCAGAAAATTCAAACAATAATCAAAAAAGGAGGTTGGTTTGAAGAAAATAATCAAAGAAAAAAATATTTTGAAAAATGACCAAAGGATCCCCGGAGCACCCTTGCGGATTCATTAAATGATCCGCGGATCCATTAAATGCTATGCCGAATTGCGTGGAATAGAATGTGATGCGGATTACAGGGGTAAATTTGTAAATTCAAAAAAATACCCCTCATTTACGTTACACATTTCCTTAGAAGGAGACTACAACAGATTTGATTCACATAACACTCGATTCCTGGACGTCGAACGGAAAATGTCTCGCTGAGCTCGATTCCTGGAGCAGCTGTAGTCCGATGTCTTATCGGATGGATATGGAACTCAAGTAACATTTCAATTTTTTCCTAATCTTTGTATAAATTCGGAAGTAGAAATTGATTATATGAATTGGAAATTGATAGGTTAAATGTTACATATAAATGTATGTTTGTTAGGGTGTTAGGACTCTAGTCGAAGAATTAAGAAAATGATTTTTCCCTTGGTTTTGCATCAAGAACAGATCCGCAGAGGCTATTTGGTCAAGAACAGATCCGCAGAGGAGCACTCCGCGGAACGATAAAAACCTCTGCGGATTTTTTTTTTCTGATTCTCAATAATTGTTATCTATTAAAATAGATTATTATCTCCTAAAATAGACCATTGAATATTGATATCATTTTATGTTAATTATACGCATAGTAAAATCGATTTCCAATTATTTATGTAATTTAAAAAAACATTAAAAATTTCTATAATTATTATTAAAACGGACCATTTATGTAAATTTTATAATATATATGGGACCATTTCTGTAAAATTCTATAAATTTGTTATAAAAACATTATTTTGGCATATATGTTTAATTTTTTACAACATAGTTTGCGTGGATGGCCTGCAGAATGTACTTTTAGAGGGGCATTGGGGACTGTGTTGAAAAAGTACATTACAAAACTAAATAGTAGGTGATTTGAATTATTCCGAGAGACAGCTTTTGGGATCTTCATTGGTATGCCCACCCCGAATGGTGACCCGATGCTCTATCATTTGATGATGTTGCATGAGGTTCGTGATGTAGAGGTAGTCAGGGCTAGGAGGTTTTGGTTCGAGTTACAAGGCAGGGTGGTTGAATATGGTGAAATAGAATTTTGCTTGATTAGCGGTTTGAGATTTGGACCGTATGTTGATATAATAAATACAAAAGTCAGCAAAAGTTTAGCATTAAGGAATCGGTTGTTCCCTAATGTGAGAGATGAAGATTTACGGCTGAATGATTTAGAAAACTACGTAAAAGGCTCAGCATTCTCGATGTGTAGCGATGAGGATGCGGTAATGGTTATGCAAATGATATTTTTGTTAAGGGGTCTCATAGGACGATACGACAATACGTGCTTTCCGTCGGCAATGTATGAGCTAGCCGATAGTCAATATAATTGGAATAGGTATTAAATTAATTATTTGTTATTTATTTATAAATACTTTATGGTTTATATTAATTATAATGAGTACGACAAGTTTGATTGGGATACGTATTTGTGGAGGTATAGTGAAGCACAATTACCATTATGGTTTGGTAAAATCTCTAGATATTTACGAGATAATGAGGGTGAGGGTTACACGAAGACGATGAAGTATATTGTTTTAGGTTTTCAGTTTCTGTTTAAGGTTAGTTTTAGGTGCAATTACTTATATTTTTTAAGTGCTTATAAGTTTGGACAAAGCATAGTTTTTTGTCGTAATAATAGGTATGGATTTTGGAGACATTTCTTGAAGCTTTGAGGTTTGCGCATCACATAGAAAAAGAAATTCCAAGAATGAGGGCATGGAGAATAAAAACATAATTGTCTCTTGAGCAATGTTTACATATATTAAACGTTTCAGTGGTAAAGTTATACATTTCTTATATTAATTATATATAGTTAAAAATTAAAACAATTTTATATACTTAAATTTTTTTTATTAGTTTTGCAAAAAAAAAAATAACATCTCACATGATTTTGAACCAACGTCTGTTGAGATCAATTTGTCATTCTTTGTGCGCTATATAAATTGGACTCTAGACAAAGTGTAGTCACCACCGCAACATCAGAGTCCTCCTAAGGAGCGGTCTCCATCACTGCAACGAATGAGTCGTCCTATGCAGCGGTCTCCATCACCTCACCCGTCTCAGTTTCAGGGAGCAGATTACACCTCAGCCTCTCATTTTCAGGAAACACACCAAGGACCTATATAAAGTAGTAAATTGACAAGTTATTTTGCATTGTAATGAATTGAAAATCACAATCGAACACTTTGGGAAGATAATAGATAATTGGGAAAAAGATAAACAATTTGGTGTGAACGATATGAAAATGTGGATGCGAGGGAAGCATTTTTTGGTGGTTTAGATCACTAGTCATGCCACACGTGTGTGCAGACGCCACCGCCTGTTGTTGAAGTTGAGGATAACACAGTTACACCGTTTAAAGGGCGGATAAAAATGAAATCGAAATTTTGTAGGGAGCCTTACACACAGGTATAAAATTAAGTAATTTCTAGAGTAAATTACTGAAATCGTCCCTGTGGTTTGGTTAAAATTGCACGTTTGGTCCCTAACTCTTTTTTTGCACTCAGATCGTCCATGTGGTTTATTTTGTTGTGTTTTTCGTCCCTATGGTTTGGTAAAAAATTGCATGTTTGATCCCTAACTTTATGTATGTAAGGGACGAAAAATGCAACAAAATCAAACCACCGGGAGGAAAAACGCAACAAAATCAAACCACAGGGACGATCCGAGTGCAAAAAAAAAGTTAGGGACCAAACGTGCAATTTTGACCAAACCACAGGGACAATTTCAGTAATTTACTCTAATTTCTATTTATATCATATGTAATCGTTCCAAATTAATTAACATATTGATTTTGTAGGTTCCTCCGTGACGGAACCATTGAAGAACAGAAAAGGGAAAAACCACAGAAGGAAAATAATGTAGCAAAAAGACCATTACTATTGGACAATTATGCAGATTGTGATGATGAATTTTGGAAATTACGGGGAAAAAAGATGGGGGCGGTATTTGTGGAGCATAGACTTTTAAGGGATATTGACATGAATTGCCAATTTTGGTCTAGTTTACTTGGTATTGGCTTTGGATGGTTGCTCTTTGAGGTAACGTCTATCTCTTATTTTATATTACAAAAATGGTTACATAATTAATTGTTCAAAATGAAAAAAAAAATTTCTAACACGCAACATTTGGTTATCTGGTCGTCCCTGCTCAAGGAAATAAGTCCGTCGAATGGTAGGTGGACGATTATTAATCCTGAATGCACGACTTTGGAACCTAGGAAACAACATTATTTGAGGCGTATAACAGTCGGGATGGTTGATGGACCACATTGGAAGGATATTGATCAGGTAAGTATATATATATATATATATATATATATATATATATATATATATATATATATATATATATATATATATATATACACACACACACACACATTAAAATATGTATATATCTAATAACTTATCATTTTTTTTTGAAGGTTTTAATTCCAATCAACATACCGCAACTGCATTGGTATTTGGCTGATTTTGATCTCCTTACATGGAAAGTGAACATATATGATTCAGTTAAATGGTGTGGTTTCTTTAAAAAAACATGCGAGTGGTGGTAGTTTCAAATCGTTGGAAGATAGTATATTAAGTGAACTAGACCATATATCATATTGGGCCCATTTTCCCAATAGACAGAAACCTACTGAAGTGAAATTCGTTAAAGCTAAACATGTGCCACAGCAGGAAAAAGTAGAAAAAGGAGAAAGAGGAGATTGTGAAGTTTTTGTGTGCATGTTCATGGAAATGCTTGCATCGGGTGTACCAGTGGAGACACGTGAATCACCTAGAGGTATGGGATTTACTTATCATAATAGGATGGCAGAAATTATTTGGAATAGTAGATTTTGATTGTGTTATTTGGAATAGTAGACTTTGATTGTGTTATTTACATATAGCTACACCTATTAAAACAAAACAAACATGAGATACCCAAGAATTAGATCAACCACCAACAACTTGTACATACGTATGCTCTTCTTGGAATCACACATCCCCTTCTCCATGCTTTCTACTAGACTCTTCTCCTTACTCAGGAGAAACTCCAACTCAGCATTCTTAGTCCTCAAGCTTTTTATGATACCAAGATCCTCGTTGGAATCCAACTGTTGCTTCATGGAATAAATGAGGTTTTTGTAGTAACCACCATCAAATGCAACATCTTTCCATTGAAAGTAATCACATTTCCTCAGTCTTGTCTGTATCAAACCCACATGAATAAAACATCAAAACACAATGAATAATCACCCAAGATGTATTTTAAACAATCACGATCGTACATGTATTTTTAGAAACGAAGCTTACCAAGCTGATGTTGCGGTTCCAAAAACATCTGCCAGGGTTAATGAGTTTCCAACATGTTTGTTCTTTAGCTGGACCATTGCTATCATAGTTGTAAACATCATCTTTAACAAACACACGAGCAACTTGGAGGCGGTTTCTTGCATTGGACGAGCTCATAGACATTGTGATGAAGAATCGAAGGGGTAAGAAAGAAATGAATGAGGTCCAAATCGGGGTTTTTAACACATCACTTAACCACGTAAGAATTGTTTTATGCAGTGTACACCTCTACGGATTAGTGTACACCTCTAAGGATCAGTATACACCTCTGCGGATCTGTGTACACCTATGTGGATCATTGTACACCTCTGCAGATCAACTATAGAAGTTATTAAACACACAATCTTTTTAAACGGGTAATTAAATAAGAAAAAGGACTAACAAACAACTTTGCGGAAAAAGTAATATAAAATCACTTTACCATGCGTATCCTTTCATCGATTCTATACCATTTCTTCTTGATTTCATTTTTTTGAAAAATTAACCCTTATATTTTTCGCCATAATGGCTTTCATACGATGGAGCGTTGAGGATAACCTCCATCTAACTCGTGCATATATTAATATCCACGAGACCACCAGGGGTAAATGATCCAAGTTATTGGACCCGTTTAACTTATGCCTTCAACGTTGACCCGCAAACTGCCCCGGAAAACTACCACAACACCATTGACATCACAGCAAAATGGTATGAATTAAAAACATGGGTCTTGGTTTTTAACAATCTTTATACGTTCGAACGAAGATGAGGAAGTCATCCTGGCCGCGACAAAAGTGGAATACATATCCATTAGTGACGTGTTAGAATTCGAGTTTGAATGCCCTTGGAATCTCTTAAAAGATCTCTCGTATTTTTAATTTTTATTGTTTGTTTTTAGAGTAAATTACACGAATGGTCCCTATGGTTTAGGATAATTTGCGCGTTTGGTCCCGAACTTATTTTTTTAACTCGGAAGGTTCCTACTATTTATTTTTGTTACGCGCTTGGTCCCTGTCTTACCTAAAAAGACTATTTTACCCTTGATTTTTTTAATTTATTTAAATAAACACACCCCAACCCCACACCCTTACCTCACCTTACACACCCCATCATTTTTCCGTATTTAAATAATAGTTTTTTTAGGTAAGACAAGGACCAAGCGTGTAACAAAAATAAATAGTAGAGACCAAGCGTGTAACAAAAACAAGCAATAGGGACCTTTCGAGTTAAAAAAATAAGTTAGGGACCAAGCGCGCAAATTACCCCAAACCATAGGGACCATTCATGTAATTTACTCTTGTTTTTATTAGGTTATTTATATGCACCGGTTGTATTACGTTATTTATATGTATTTGGCTTATATTAGGTTATTTACGAAATCAATTGAATTAACTTCTACTTTATTCCATAGAACATAAAATACAAAACAGTACAAATACATGGAAAACATACATCAGTAGCAAACATATTACATAAAACATTTCACATAAAAAACTCTTCTACATAAATACTGGTGGTTCTTAACTAGATTTCAAGTGTCCACATACTCGAAGTCTTTTTCCTCTTGCTCGAAAATGTAATGATCTAAAATCATTTCTACAAAAGCTTCCTCGTTTGAGTAATAATAATTACTACTATTTTTAAGATGATGATAATATAGATTGAACCATGTGATTTCGTTCTTTATCTCCATCCACTTACTAAGAATATCTACTTGTACCCGATATTCTACTTGTCCACATGAGAGGTTGAACATACCTATTATGCGGGTCCATTCATCACCTCCAAGGTAATCAAGGGTACCCATTGTTGCTACACCTTCAAAAATGTTCAACCAACATCGTATTATAACCATCACCTCTCTTATCATCCATGGACGTGGAGTATCGGATGATGATGTTGCATTCGTAGAAGTTGGTGCACTGGAGGCCATTTCTATATTTTTCAATACTTGGGTGAGTTTATACAATATATAACTGGTATGACAATTTATACACTAATCCGTAGAGATGTACACTGATCCGTTGATAACAGTTATGTGGATTCCCAAACAGTTCTGTGGACTGATATTAAACATAAGTTCATTATTTTTAACATTTTTTATTAAATTATTTACATAATCACATAAGGTATTTGTGTATTTTAAAAAAATTAATATTAATAAACGAAAATGAAAGCATAAAAATGAAAAAACGAAAGAAAATTAAAAATCAAAATACATAGATTTCGTAGAGCATTTAATGGATCCGCAGAGGGTGCTCTGCGGATCCTTTGTTCATTTTCCAAAATATGTTTTTCTTTGGTTATTTTCTTCAAACCAACTTTATTTTTTAGTAATTGTTCGAATTTTCTGCAAGTAATATTATAATATGTCACCATGTCATCTCTGATATAGAAGAAAAATAATAATAAAAAAAAATTTTGATTGTTATTTTTCTGATTTCGTATCAATTCTAATACTCCATAATTTAGAATTAAATTCATAAACGATTCCAGATTAAATCAAAGAAAAATGACTATAATATTTTTTTGGAGATCATGAATTATTTTAAAGATAAATATACCATGTGATAATTTTTTATTGTATTTTTTGGGGGAATACTCCTTTGTGCGTGGATAGCAAGAAAAAGGAGCATCTACGACTTCAAAACTTTGATCAATTCATTTTTGTAGTAGTTGTCACTTGTCATTTATATATAATTTCACAAAAGCTTATGTTTATTAAATGAAAACAATATGAGCTTTATTTATTAAATGTTAAACACTTAAAACGTTTGGATGCGAAAAGCTCTGTTGTACATGATCTTTCAGCATTGTTTGAGTTTATGATTATACATAGGAACTAACAATCTAACATGATTCACGATTATAAATAGTGTTAGTGTAAAAGAAGGACAATCAGCTATTTGACATGTTCAAAAAAACTTTTTGTGTTGAAAATGCTATTTGTAGTGTAAGTAGCAATTATTTTTTATTTAAAGCCATCATTTTAAACTAGAGACAAGAATAACCTTAACCTAGAGACAATAATAAATGGTTTCACCGTTAAAATAGTCATACTGTCAAGCTTACGTGGCTCAAACACATCACATTAGTTCTAAGAGAAATCTTAGTAAATGGTCATTGTTCTATAACCATCATTTTTTAATTGTTTCTCATTTTCAGCAAGAACTATAAAAACCTTATTTCTTCGAAGTGTCGAACGAAAACAGCAAAAAAAAAAAAAAAAAAAAAAAAAAAAACTAGTTGATAGATCATGCTTCTTCAAACCTCATGGTTAGTTCTTTGCACCATTCCCAACTTTTAAGATTCAACATCTTTCAAAAAGCTTAACTCCTTTTGTTTTCTATGGTCTTTTAGAATGCAACTAAAAGTTCAGATTTGATAACCATTGAGTTTTTTTCTAAGGATTTTCTAACTTATTGTGATGGAACATCAATTGCGATAAATAAAATTGATTTTGCTTCCATGGATTTTTATCAGTCACCAAATTTTGCAAGAATTGTGTAGGGGACCTATATAAGTACCGAAAAAGGTTTTAGGGGAAAGCTTAAGGGTATTAGCATGTGAGGGCATGCAAGATTTCTTGACCATGTTTATCATCTATCAAAGAGTCTTTTGTACATTGACCATATGAGTGATGATTTAATAAAGTACATAAGGGAGGATGAACTAATGTTTTTTTCATAATATTTCATACATTGAAAATATGTCAAAAGAACATCTCGCTTTGAAAATATATCAAAGCATGCTATTTTGGCAGTTTTGACAATTTTTCAAAGTATGATGTTATTTTGATAGTTTTCCTACATTGAAAATATGTCAAAGCAACTATTTTGATAGCTTTTGACAATAGGATGCTATTTTTCAGATTTTGACAATAAGATGTTATTTTGTCAGTAGAATGTTATTTTCTAGTGGAGTGATATTTTCCAGATTTTAAAAATAGGATGTCCGAGCCTCCTCAGTAGTCAACTGAAATGCGGGCTCTTAACCGCAGGAGCGTCCGCCTTGGCAGGGCGGCCATCAGTGATCCACATTGTAGCGGGCGCAGGCGCCGCCACCACTCCCCCCCCCTCCTCCCTACAACCTCGGACAATCGGCATTTTTATGACCGGTCTGGTTGCAGTAGAAACAAATCAGGCCCTTCATGGAGCAATCCCTGCTCATGTGGCCCGACTGTCTACATGTGTAACATCCCGAGCGTGCTGCTCGACATCCTCCGTTGTGCGGCTTACTGTACTTGGCACATCGGCTACGACCCTGTTGTCCCCTACTAGAAGAGTCATAGGTCTTAGGCTTTTTAGCCTGACCTACAGCTGTCTGAACCTGCTCTGGCTTCTGCTTCGTGCGGAGCTCCAACTCCATGTCCCGCTCACGGACCTTCTCCACCATCTCATTTAGGGTTTTACACCCTGAAAAGCTCATGAACTCATGGATATCATCCCTCAGAATGGAAGTATACCTCATCCTCCTCATATCCTCATTTGCAGTATACTGTGGAATCAAAAGTGCTAGCTCCTGAAACT